TTTTTTTATACTTTGCGCGTGAACCTTGCGCTGCTGCATTTTTCGAAAACTTCCGAGCAGGGATTCCCCAAATGGTCCCCGAGTTTGTTTCCCCCGTCGCTGTCGGCTCTTTGGGATTTATGGGCCAACGATCGCGGGCCAAAGATTGTCGTCGCGGGGAATTGACTTTTCTCGTCGGGCTTAATTCCCCAAAGTGCGCGCATGCCGATCGTGTTGTGTTTCTCGGCCGAAGCGAGGCTTTCCCCGTACCCTCGACGAATACCGATCCCCGAGCTCGCGCGGAGGAGAGATCGATCGCGACGATTCCCTCCATCTGATAGCGCTCGCGCAGGACTTTTTATATACTTGCGGGCGAGGGGAGAAAAAAAAAAAAAAAAAAAAGAAAAGTGTTCTATCGGTTACTTTGCATGGATAAAATGTTTCCCGCTTGGATTCCACTGTCCGCGAGTACACACATTTTATCCGCTCGCCTCCGAAGATCGGCAAGATAAATCGGCCGAGCATCGGACAATTAAACAGGATTTACCACCATTTACCCCGACAACAGATGAAACGTGAATTTTATGTACATCCCTCTAATGTTATTTACCCCCGATTTTACTCTCTTGAAGTATAGTTCTCGTCGCTCCACTAAAGCGCTAATCTGTGCAGCTCGAGTGATTGAAAATGCAATAAAGACAAAAAGAGACACGCAGGCATATCGGCATGCTTATGTAGGGGAGACGCGCTGATGTTCAAGTGGCCGTGCCTTGTTTATGCGCCCTGTAAGTATAACAAATGCATGCGAGAGGAAAAGAATCAGCGGCGGCGAGAGCCAGGGGGGGGGGATAAGTCCAAAGGCGTGACGCTGACAGTGAGGGGAGAAGGAAATGCTCGGCGGAGCGGAAAAACTCTGATGCTGCTCCTATTATATATATGATATATCCACGAGGGTGATGAGCGTAGCGTTTTCGCTGGGCGAATACAGTTGCGTGTTTATGGGTGTATACGCATCAGGCGAGCGCGTCTCTTGGTATACAAGTATATACCTCGATGTTTTCTTTGTTGTTGAGGCTTATTGTGTGGCTGTAAGTCTGCTTTGTTTTGCCCTACGATGAGAAGGAGACACGCGATCGGTAGGCGAGAGGATGGGTATACGAGTTCGTTTGATTGAACGACTTACAGAGAGGTGCAATTGTAATAGTTTCGACTTGCGCGATTTGGTTGTTTTATTTTTTGAAAAAAATCGGGAACAAAATCAAAACAAGAAATGTTATTTATACGGTGTGCTCTCTTCTCTCATAGTCTCGACTCGTCCAGCATTTTACGTCGTGCGAGCTTTCACGAGACTACAAAAGCTCTCTCGAGCTTATGGGATTTTGTGTACTACGGAGCAGCTTTACGCCCGCAAAGTTTTCCGTTTTATTGACCTGCGAAAGTGTATCCATATCAAAGTCCGATATCGACCCCCCGTGAATGAAAAAAAATTTACTTTTACTTTTACTCGTATGTTTATTTGAAAACTACAATTCGTTGGAGAAATATTCGAAGGCGAACTAGCTGTTACTGTTCTTTCAGAGCTTGCAAATAAACTTTTCATTACGATAACTTTGGTATACATGTGACGTATACGATTAAATTAAACTTACATTGACGTGGAGTAGAAAAAAAAAAATCATCAAAAGTTGGCACGATTAAATGGCCCAAAGAGACACTACACGGCACAACGTAAATTGACCATTTGTACTCGTACACTGTACGTGTTGGTTTTATTTCACCTAGCATCGTTTGATGGTCACTGAAATGATACAAATGAAAACTCGTGACACTTTTTTAATTATTCATAATAGCGTGGACCATTAGATCAGCATTTTTTTGCTTTGTCATTCATTTCCGTCAAATTTGTACGCTTTTGCGTACACTTTTTTTACAAGTTACTACATTTACTTTTTGTGGTCTAAAGTTCAGTTTGAATTCTGTGTTAAAAGATAAATGTCGCTACGCCTTGAAGTATCTCGTTTCAAAAGTGAAAAATAAGTATTTCCATCGCAATCAAGGTAACTGAAGCTTTAATCCTGTTTTGCAGGTGTTTAACAAAAAACACCGACGCAGTAGCAGTTTGTTCTTCGCAAAATTTCAGCGAAACCGATCTCGCTTCTGAAACGCCACGCTTAGCTCCTACATATACATTGCATCCAAGATAACGGTATAACCACACGGTCCGCGCTGTCGCCAAGTATACACGTATGTAATATTGTGCAGCTTGCGAAAGACTCGCTAATCGCGCCACGAGGTAAATCGAGAGCCCCTCTCTCTCTCACTCGCGCCGAGTTGCGTACGCGTGTGCGTACTTATCTTGCATCGTCGAGTGGAGAATGATCAGGGAAAACGCGACGTATAAACTTGCAAGTGTGTGTATGTATAAAGCCGCGCACGCACGTGCGTGTACATAAGTACCTACTTATCAGTTATAGACAGTTTCGAGCCGTATACAGTATGTGGTTGTATAAGTACGCGTAGATCGGTAATGGCAGGGTGTGTTATACAATCGGCTCGCTCGTGATTTCACCCCAGTATGGGTCAACTTTACGAGCAGATTTAAGAATGAATTACCTCTTTGTGGTACACAACCCTTTTTTTTTGTTTACAGTGCAAAACTATACATTTTTTAAAACTACAGTTTTTCTTTTCTTGATGTTTTAGAGATTCCATTAAACTTATAGGCACGAGCAAGTACTCTATTGTCTCTCCCCCGCTCGTAGTCACCTTCAGACTCGTACAGGTGGTTCTGCAAATGTACTCGAGGTATAAAATACATATAATTACGCTACTGTGTTCACGTACAACACTCTCTTTCTCCTCTTTATCCTGCAGTAACCAGAGAGAGGCTGCAGCGGAACAGTCACTCTCTCTCCCTTCCTCTTAAGGCGCAAATTTTAATGGTCAATTAGGGTGTGGTAGCGCATTTTAATAAGCCTCTCTTTTTTACCGAGCTCCCCCCGCTTCTCTGAAATAATCATTCAATTTAACTTCGTTTCGTTCATCTTAAACTACATACATGATAATAATACACGGGGGAGCCAATTTAGCCGATACCACCGGGGAGAGATTTTTATTGACTTTGTCAATTATAAAATGCACCTTGACCGGTAACGACGTAATGTTAAGAAAAGTCTCGAATATATAGTTCACAGGGGCGCAACATCAATATACTTATTATACATCCCGTGAAAACGAGAAATCGCGAAAACGGCCGCGCTCTTGTGTGATACGGCGAGGGGGGCCCTATGGCACGGTCCAATGATACACACGCGCTCGCGTATATACACGAGCGAGGCCGACCGGTTCTCCTTTCCTCTCTCCGTAACTATGACGTGTAGTGTATCGAAAAGTGGTCTCGCGGCTACCACTTCGTCGCGGCTGTCGTCGTCCGTTAAAGGGACATTGCGACACTGCACACGAGCTCAACGCCGAGAGCAATAAGAGAGAGAGAGAGACACGCACACACGCGAACCGAGAGATAAATTATGCGCGCACGTGCGTGTATATGCGTACCGGAGACACCCGTTATGTATCACTGCTCTCTCTCTCTCTCTCTCTTTCCTCTCCCTCTCGTGTTTTCTCTCTTTTGGTTTTTGACCGACGATTTTTCTTTGTTTTTTGCCGCGTGTACGCAGCTCGAGCGCGACTGACCGATTGATTTTCGCCCACGCGTATACGTTTGACTATATTTATCTGCATTATATACATTTGCCTACACGTACGCGCTATGGTCTATAATGTAGGAAACGAGTTCTCTCTTTTTCATGTATATAATGTAGACGCGTACAAGGTATATCCGGATAATATAGTTACTATGGCTCGTTGTTTCTGATGCGGGTCCGCAGGGCGAGATTGCATTGTATATCCGTGTACGTCGGAGCGGTGACGAGGCATGGATCGGACTGGCTGGTTTGGGTGGAATTTTTTTTTTCTCTTGTGCCCAATTCGTTGAGGAAACTTTTGACTCTGTGTACTCTTGGTTCATTGCGAGGTACGCGAGATCGAACTGACAAGGACTGCGTCAACGAGTCCTCCCGATCAAAATGAAAACGTTTAGAGAGAAAAAAAAAAAAAAAAACGCCAATTTACCACCTCTCTCCGGATTTTCCATTTCATAATTATACACTACTCTTGTGGCAATCATGACGCTCGTCTGTAGTATACGTGCGATTCGACAATCTTTGGGATTTTACTTTCATTCATTTCATTTACTTTCATTTCATTTTTTTTTTTTTTTACGTTGTGGTTGAAATGAAATGTTACATTTTTTATGTATTACTTTTATAAACTTGTAAACAGGCTTACTTTAAGAAACATAATTCTAACCATCACCACCTTTACAAAAACCTTAAACCTAAATAAATATATATGGCCCACATTTGATTTGCACTTTGCAACGTTTGATGTATATGAACAAGTAAATGGACGAATAATTTGAGTGAAATTAAAATTACAGAGCTTCGTGGATAATTTAATGGAATCTTCAATTGGTTTTCGCAACGAAAGTATAAATTTCTTTCCTGAAACAACAACTTTAATTTGTTGATTTAAAATTGTTCTTTTTTAAGATTGAGATTCACGTAATATCTTAACATTTCTCGGGTCAAACTTTTGTAAGGTAACAAGAAAATTTTTTTGCTTTGAAAGTAAAAAAAAAAAAAATCACAATTCATCCCCTCATTTATAGTCTTAATTATGTATACAAAGTTTAAACGGTTTGACAAATAAATCGCACTTGTAAAGTAATTGCAAAAATAATCATGAATAACAATTTACAAATTGAAAGAAAGTTTTGGTTGAACAGATTAAATATAAATCACAAGTGAATTGACACGTGTCCGCGCTAAATAATATCGTAAAAAAAATAACGGAGAGTAACAGGGAGAGAGCGAGAAAAATTTATTTATGTAGAGTAAAGAAAGCAGTATTGGATTGTAAGAAACAACAGAAGAGAAAAAAAAAAGAAATGTCTACGATACCGATGCTATTCTGAGTACTGAGTTCCCAGTCTTTCATGAGGATTTCTCTGGCAGGTCAGGATGACGTCGACGTGGGTGCACCTATAAAATGCAGAGAGCGTTTGTACAGTTACGAGTTGATTGCATTGATTTTTACGTACATAAAAAGCCTATATAAAGGCGATATAAAGGTATACGTGTGTGCAAGAGATTGTGTCCCTACGGATTTCTATTATCATTGTGTTTTGTTCGATCGGTTTTGTTGTAATGAGTGCAGCTGAAAAAGCTGTATGGGTTTGTGTGCGCGTGTGTGTAAATTTAAGCTCGTTCAACAGCTCAACATACACATGTGTATATTTGATGACTGTACAGGCCAACATTTTTTTTTCTTCTTCAAATCTGACCGAGCCTGTACGGTAAATCAGAATAGGGCAGAGATAATGATGCAATTTCATGGTTTAAATAGGCGATTAGGTCCACAGTCGATTATTCTTTTGTTTCGGCTTCGTAACAATAAAGCTCTCCTTTGTTCGTGAGGATACAATCAAATTGGTTAAAGGTCTCTATTGGCTCGGGGAAAACATTTTTGGACCCATGTGCAGTGTTTTTTTACGGTCTCATTTACAATCACATTGTAGTTTAATATGTTAAAATCTGGAGAATATTGACCACAAGTGGTGTAGGAAAGTTACCCATAATACTGGAGTTTCCTAACATAATTTTACAGGTGCAATCGAAAACAAAACAAATGGTTTCACACATCACCAATATTCTTGTAATTGTGCGTTGTATGGTAAAAATCAAACTACGAACAGCTCCACCTTATGTTTATATAATATACAAATACGTAGAAACGTAACACTGACTATATCCACCTGTTATAAAACAATTTGATTCTCGCAACGCATACCCCGTAAGAAAAAAAAAAAAAAATTCGAGTTACAAGTTCTCACTTCTATGTAAGTTGTCAGAATTGGTGCAAATTAGTGCTACGCAAGGGCGTCGTTTCACAAGAGTCCAGCGGAGCGTGCACTCACACGTGTAGGTAAAAAAAAAAAAAGGTGAAATTGCCGCGGGTTGCGTGAATTCGCGTACAATAAAAATACCCATCAACAGGACGATCGGTTGCATCAAATATACATTTTGGTGGGTACCTACTTTTGCCACGTATATGTGTGGAGCGATAAATAAAGGGAGCGGGGGGTGTATAACTGTATCACGATTCACCCAAAAAACTAACCCGTAAATATGGGGACAAAAAACTCAAGTTAGCAAATTTTCGATTTGATTGACTGGTTTTTTTTTTCTACCTCGCTATAAGTGCAAGTGCACGCCTCGGCGATTATTGCATCGGTTGTTTTTGCAACGATAGTTTTAGATACCATATAAACAGGTACACGCTGCACGCGATTTTACCTCATACACGCGTTCGCAAGTGCGCATTGCACGTTGAAGAGAGTGAAATTTACGATGATGTAAAGAATTTTGCCTTTTCTTTCTCTCCATGTTTTTTATTTCGTTCGTGTATACCCGTATGGAGATGGATTACGTATTGTTGGCGTGACCGTAAAAATGCGAATCAAATGGCTCATCCTTTTTTTTTTTTTTTCGCCAACTTATCAACGGAGAGAAAGAAAAGCAAAAACTTCCGAGGGCACTAGATCTGGTATACACCCATTTGAATCGCAACAGCCGAATACAGCGATGCACAAGAGTCAGACCCAAAATTGCTAAGTATGTGCATATGCCAATATAACACAGTCCACTTTGACGTATGTATTATGTATTCGAAGGAAAGCTATTCACCGAGCCAAGCGAGTGCCATTGTGAAAACTCGCGGTGTAAATCCTGCCCATAAGCGCGAGAATTTGCCCCACAACTACACCCATACACAACGCCCCATCTTGTATATGCATATGTATATGTGCCTACTTGTATGAACTCACAAGCAAAAGCAGCGTCGTCACGCTCGCGCGTCTTCGGAAAGCGTGAAGAGCCGCGAGCTCGCGCTTTCGTGATGTATTACCTTTCGTCCGTGTGTATACACGTGCGCGCACGTGCGATTACGGGAGGCTTTTTACGCGAACGAAAACAAGCCCCTCTCTCTTCCTCTATTCCCGCGAGCCCGCTTTTCCGCGGCGTTGCGTAACACCGTGACGCCGGCCGTTCTCCTTTGCGATTCCCGATTTTTTTTCCCCCCCCTCTTTCCCTCCCTTTCTCGGTCTCCACCGCACAGAGTTTCGTTGGTTGGGATATACACAAATGAGTTAAGTACTGCACGCTGGGTTTCTCAACACCAACATCACCGAGCGGTACTTCGCGACGACACGGCCTTTATGGTATACATATATATATATATCCTCGCAATTTGGACCGGAGCTTTGATACGCTGATCGATCGACGGGACACTTTGTGCAAGGAAAAAAAAGGGGCAGGTCAATCGGAAAATCAAGAGAGCACACGCGAGCGCGCCACTCAATCACTGCTCTCCTGGAAACCTCGTGCATATATATATATACCTACGTTCAAAGTTTGGCGATCGAGAGGCAGAAGTAGCAGACACGCACAAACTATCGTATCAATCGGGTTGTGCCCCCTCGTCCGAGTAATTGACGCCGGAGACGGACAGTCGGCGAATCGCGCGTTGGTATATAGATCGGAGTGGACGAGGGAGGGTTACATGTATAGGATGAGAGACAACTCTCTCTCTGTCTCTCTCGGCAGTGGCGTAAATCAATTATCGCACTCGTAAATTTTGCCAGCCTGTGCGAGGTGCACTGTGTACTGACGTATACGGACAAGAGAGACTCCAATTAGAAAATCGAAAGGGAGAGAGAGAGCAGTTGCCCGACTGACTATGTGTACTCGGTCTTTTTTTTCCCGCTGACGGAGTCAACTTCATTTTCGGACGATTGAGACGACAGTACTGGGTGATCTGTACCATTTTCTTTCCTGGGATTTTTTTTTGAAATCCAACAAAGAGCGTGTAACGATATAGCTGACAATAAAAAAAAAAAAAAAGAGAGAATCAAAGGGCAGGAGAAAGTAGCCAAAGCCCTTTGGCGATAAAAACAAAAGGAGCAAACAGAGCAGAGCAGAGCACGTAGAGTGGGCTTGTCGGTGCGGTTATATATATTATGCGGTGTCTCAGCGAGCCCTTGACGTCGTCGTCGATGTGAGACGAAGCACTCATCTTTCGGAAAGTATATGCACACCCATTGCAAGCGCACATACTCCCGTGGATGTACGCACGTAGCCAACTACAAACAGTAGAGCTATATAGATCAATGTGTGTGTGTGTGTGTGTGTGTGTGTGTGTGTGTGTGTGTGTGTGTGTGTGTGTGTATACCTACACACGCGTGAAATCCCCGCAAGGCGTAACCGGAGTTGACTTTGACGCGCGTCGCGACCTCAAAGTATTTCCGTACCACCCCCCGCCTCAGCACGTGCTCATCCATACTACACGTGTGTACATATACTTACGCGCGCTTGTACGAGACAAAAGGAGCTGTCCTTTCTGCTCCCTCTCTCTCTCTCTCTCTCTCTCTCTCTCTCTCTCTCTCTCTCTCTCTCTCTCTCTCTGTGTACGTACATGCACACACTCCTGCAGGTTTGAAAGGACGTCAGTGAGATTTTTTTTTTTTATTGTCATACGGAGATAGAGACGATAAACTTTGACAAGTGTGGAAAAAAAAAAAAAAAGAAAGGAAGAGTAGACCAATCTACACCCCATACGGGAGGGCGAGGGAGGGAATCCTGCATAAGGTCACAGTGAGGAGGGGGGAAAAGTATTGTACTATGATTAAGCGTGTTCGATACAGTAGGGCTGGAATTAAATCGGTGAATAAAAGCCATTGGATGTTGTAGAGCAGTATCGATCGGAGGGGGGGGGGGGGCGGAGGAAAGGGGAGCCTCATCGTGTACTGTTTAAACACTTTATTGGCTCTTTGCGCAGGTGCGGGTGTGCACACCCCACGTTCTTCATTCACCTCTCTCGCTGCTTCTATTTAAGCGTTGTTGTTGTTGTTGTTGTTTTTTTTTTTGTTTTTTTTTCACTAAAAAATCTCGAGCGTGCTTCCGCCCAAGATCCCTTAGCGCGCGCGGCCAAAGAATGCCAGCGTGTCGTATCAAGAACGCCTCTCTCTACGGAAAGGAATCTCGAGGGTGGAACGCGTTCGCTCTCTCTCCTTGTCGCTGCACTCGCGCTCTCGATCCGGGGAATGAATGTTTAGATTCTCCCCTTGTAAATTTACGTGTGTACATATATACGTACCCATCATAACGTGTACGGCGATAAGAGAGCACTTGCGTCTTTTGTCCGACTGTCATTCGTTTTTTGAACAAGGGGGAATATTCGTTTCTGTTGTCGTAGCTCAAGTGCGTTTTTTCACCGGGCAGCTTCATCGTTCGTCCATTCCGTTCTTTATGGAATTTATCGAGTAGACGAATGTGAAGGGCCGAACAATTACTTGATACTACCGAAAAGACAATTTTTTTAGCAAATGCACGATAGGAGTTGACGAGCAAAACCAAACAGTGTTAATCAAGGACACCCTTAAAAAAACGAGGGAATCCCCGGAGGAGGAAAAAAAAAGGTACCGCGACAGAGTAACGAAAAGCAGAGAAATTCGCGAGCAGCAACAACCCCTTCCTCCCCCCGCGACCCCAATAACGTAACAACAGCGTGACTGTAGGATCGATTTTTCACTTTGGCCGGCAACAAATGACGATTTACTGTCCCCACAATACTACTGTGTACCTGTACGGACAAACGTATATACACCAACGTGCGCGTGTATACCTACACAAGACACGTGATAAAGGCGCAGCAGCGAGCGCATTCAATTCGCGAATGCAGATTGCTTATCATTTTAATATAAATTGCCGAAAACAACGGGAGTAATTGTGCCCGAGCTACGCGAAACAGGTATGCCTACGTGTATAGGCTGGGGTGGGTGGCGGCCAGCAAGCCACAACGCACTGTAACTGTACAGTGCGCCCACGCATGGCCGTTTGCTGCTGTTTACTGGGGTGGATACGTGCGCGTTATCTACTTCTCTCTTTCGGGTGGACCGCGTGTGTATCGAATGCACCGCGTCTGA